GGGGGGGGGGTTATTTTTAGTATGTGTATTTTTTTGTATGAGTGTGTATTTTTTGCAAGCAGGTTTGCGACGGGGCCGGGGCGGAAGATCGGAGATGCCGGCTCAGCATCGTGTTGTCTATTGGCCATCGGCGATGGACAATGACATCGTCTTTCAGCACAACCCTAGATACTAATTCGATTTTTTAAAATACATCATTCAATACATTTAATTTTATTATTATTATTAACATTTAATATTAACATTACAATCTATTTATTTCACAACAGCAAATCAGGTCATTGGTTTAGTAGCTGCTAATCTGTTGATCAACTGAGATGATTTAGGTGAAGGTTATGATATGAGTCAGTGATTGAGCAGAGCTTCTCCTGTTGTCCAGTTTAATGCAGACTACCTCAGAACAAATGTCTTTTCACACTGACTGAAGAGGCTGGATGTTGGCTTCTGAACGGTGTAAAATACTAGATGGAGCATTATTTTACTGGCTCAGATCAGTGGATCCATTATAATGTGACTTTGCTTTGATTAATGTTATCTTGGTGTTGGCGATGCATCAATAAACACATCAGATCCATAGTAAGACTTCCTAAATAAGAGATCCTTAAGAAATTACACATCCAAATTTGACTTGTGTTTACTTATGTTTAGAAAGATTAGGGTAATCAAAGTATGTATACATGGTAGATTATTAATCAGAGTATTGTCTTGGTCATGTTAACATCAGAATATATGTGGTGTCTCAATTTCCCTCTCTTTGTGGCATGTGTGAGACACTATATATCCTGCACAGATGGTCCATCCCAAATGCCAGAAAATGAGGATTAAAGCAGACACACATTTTTGTATTGGGAGTTTTTTATCCAGATACTGCACAGTCATTTAAAATATTTTCTGACGCAAACAAGTGTGACCATTGCAGACAAGATGGAATTTTAGATTTGATCTGATTCAGGTTGTGTTGATCAAATATCAGATTATTGGCAGTGAAATCTGGCTTAGCTTTCCTTCTCATTCCATTAGAGTCTATGAAGCAGTCAGATTTTACTTTTAAGCATGATGCTGTCTTTTCTCTTCCTGCCACACATACACACACCGTTTTAGCCGTCACCCTTCCCCTAGTTCTTACAGAGTAGTTCTGAGTCAGCTTTATTCACTTCCACATCCACACCACACAAATAATCCCTGTCGCCACTTTTCCTCAGCAGCTGCTATTGTTCTGTGAGCACCAGCCATAGTACAAATTATATTACAAAACAGATATATTATACAACACACATAGTATATCAAATAATGCATTTATTTGTGTGGATATTAATGATTAATAATTACATTATTACTGCAATGTATTTATCGTTATAGACTGACAAATATCAACATGACATAAGGCATTCATAGGTGATAAATAGCCAAAATAAAAATGAATATTTAACAGTTATTTTAAGGCTACGTGCCTTAGTGTCCCACCAGTGCTGATATACAGCCATATTGCAATGCTGCAAGTGTGATAGTGTTTATACAACAGTTCGATGGCATAAGTGTATATAAAAAAGAACGCAGAGAACCCCCCCCCCCCCCTTTTTTTTACAAAGAACTACTTTCTTCTGCCATTCGTTCACATCGGCAGCTGATGTCAGAACAGCAGAAACTGTTGCTAATTCACCATTGTCACTTCAGAGCTAGTATTTGAATGATTCTCTAGTGTAATGTCTAAAGTGATGACACACAGGTGATTTTGCTCACATTTTAAGGTTATAAGGCTGAACAGCATGAAATGTCATCGGTCTACAGAGATTTCCCAATACTTGGGAAACGTGGCGCAGTGGGTTCGCCTCACAGCAAGAAGGTCGCTGGTTCGATCCTCGGCTGGGTCAGTTGGCATTTCTGTGTGGAGTTTGCATGTTCTCCCTGCGTTCGCGTGGGTTTCCTTCGGGTGCTCCGGTTTCCCCCACAGTCCAAAGACATGCGGTACAGGTGAATTGGGTAGGCTAAATTAGCCGTAGTGTATGAGTGTGTGTGTGTGTATGTGTGTGTGGATGTTTCCCAGAGATGGGTTGCGGCTGTAAGGGCATCTGAATGACAGATATATTGTCAACACAAACTTTTATTTTAGATGTGAATAATCACAATTAATCTTTGCCCAGCATTAATTTACATAAAAACTTACATTTTATTACTACAATGTATCACAGGAACTGGAATATTATATTATTGTAATAATTTTATCTTTGGTTTCTCCTTAGCTCTTTTTTGAACATTTCTTTTATATTTTCAATACTATTAAGACCTTTAACTCTATAAAACGCTTTTATTTTGTATTTGTCAGAGTCCAGCGAGGCTGATTTCTGCCATGACCTGCGTGAGCTCCTCCGCCAACTACCAGATCTCCACTACAGTCTCCTGCAGTACTTGTGCTACTTCCTGTCGCAGGTGGAGCAAGAACACGAACACAACCGTATGACCGCCAGCAACCTGGCCACAGTGTTTGGACCAAACGTCTTTCAGTAAGTCAAGCAATTCAACAAACTAACAAACAACACAATCTGATATTCAGTGTCAGTTCTTTATAAAAAAACATTGAAGACAGCAGCAGCATGCTAAGTAGCATCTAAGGACTTATTATGTGGTCTCTGTTGCCATCTTGTGGCAGGACGCCTTTGCTCTGCTCAGTATGACAGGCTGATGGCTGCTGACGTGGTGAATCTCAGAAATGATAAACATTTAACTATCCTTATAAATAAATTAGCAGTAGCATGCTAGTCGATATCTACTACATAACTACATAAACATATTCACTAAGTTTTCAGAAAGTCCTGGCTTCAGTTTAGAAGTTGTAACCTTTTTTCCTTATCTCTGTCTGACTACTGTTTGAATATTTATGACTTTATTCCATCACTACTAGTCATTTTTTACAATTAAGATGTGTAAGGTTAGCTTGTTTTGTTGTTTCTAGAGTATCAGAATAGCATTTAAAGGCTGATTCAAACAATACTCACAAACGCCAACAAATAGTATTGCTTTTGTCAATAAAAATTATTATTTAAATTGTCATTAACGCATGTTTTTCATTTCATGAAAACGAGACAAGACACAACATAAATGTTGGTCAGGTGATGATGACTAGTGTTAAATTTATAATGCAAGATTGTTGAAGAAATAACAAAAGAGATGAAATGTGGTCTACAAAATGCTAAAATGTTGACAAATAAGATGAAATGACATGTAAATGACATGCATTATTAGTGGAGTTTGCCTTTAGGCAAATCCACTATTGTTATTTTCTATAATTTGTATTATTCATAATTTCAGCACGTAACTTCTCCCACAGTTTATGTCCCAGACCCTTAAAAGTGGGGTCAAATCATGCGGATTTATCAGGAATGATGTGCTATGTCTTAAATAAGGGGTCCGGGGTTTTTGGCCCTGTAACCCCCCCACCCCACCCCCATCCCAAAATCCTACTGACTTAACATTGAGCTCAACTTTAACACATTATAGCGGCAAGTGTGAATTTCATAGAAATATGGGATTTAAGACATGTGGAGAGGTGAGCACACCCCAAACAGAGGTAAAAGTTGTACCCCTGGGGTGGTAGGGCATCCCAAAATTTTACATAGCCTTAACATTTCCCACTGAAATCCATTCATCCCACTATCTCCCATTATAACTGTCACGCATCAATAAAAAGTTAAATAGCAGTGCCATACAGAAATGGGGGTGGGATCATTTGATTCATGCAACCAATCAGCTTGGCAATATGATAATGAAGCTCTCAAGCCACGCCCCAGATCATTTAAATACCCCTAATAACTGATTCCATAGACTGCCATTATAATTGGCATAGATGCATGTTTAAACAGCAATGTCATTCAGACATGGGGGTTGGTTCATTTGACTCATGCAACCAATCAGCATCTCAATATGATAATGAAGTTCTCAAGCCACGCCCCCACATTGATTCCATAGACTGCCATTATAATAGGCCTAGATGTATTTATTTGCATAGCAGTGTCATAGAGACATGGGGGTGGGCTCATTTGATTCAGGCAACTAATCAGAGTCCAAAATTTAAACATGGAATGGAATTAATCATGGAATCTTTCACTGCATTTCCAAATTTTTTTCCTCTGGAGAAAGTCTTAGAGAAAGTTTATTTCGGCTAGAATAAAGGCAGTTTTATTATTATTAGGGGCAATATTATTAGTCCCCTTATTCAATTGCTTTTCAATAATCAGAACAAAACAAACCATTATTATGCATTGAGTTCCATAATTACCCTTACTTGCCTATTTTACCTAGTCTTTAAATGTCACTTTAAGCTGAACTCTAGTATTTTGAAAAATATCTAGTCAAATCTTATTTACTGTCATCATGACAAAGATAAAATCAGTTATTATGAATGAGTTATTAAAACTTTAATGTTTAGAAATGTGTCGAAAAAAAATCTTTTTTCGTTATACAGAAATAAACAGGGGGACTAACAATTCAGAAGGGCTAATAATTCTGACTTCAACTGTATAGAGCTGAAACTTCACACACAAATTCTGCAAACACCAGTTTGCCATCTTAAAAAAAAAAGAAAAGATATTTAATGTGCCCTCTTAACATTACATTAAAGTTCATGGCAGTGCATTTATTTCTGTAGCACAGATTGACTCGTCTAAATAATTAGAAGTGTCTGTGCATGCATTGCCAAGCTACAGTATGTGTGTCATGCGTCATTAGCTGCATGTTGCAGTATATATTCTGGGTGTCGTTTTCTCGGTGCTGCTGGTCATTGACTGAATTGTGGATTGATCTGCACGTGTGTGTGTCAGAAACATTTCACACGACCCTTGACCAAGCACACAACACCACAGCACAGTTTCACTGATCAATGACTTTGTTTTCCACTGTTTAACCTGCTTACTTGCTGTCAATCAAACCTTACATAATATAATATAATATAATATAATATAATATAATATAATATAATATAATATAATATAATATAATATAATATTATATTATATTATATAATATATGATATGATATGATATGATATATGATATGATATATGATATGATATGATATAATATTATTATAATACAATATAATAAAATAAACAAACATCTTGTTTTGGTATATTTTGATTATATTTATGATAGATTATTAGATTATATTTTTACAATTATTTTTATTACACAGTAAAATATATATATTTTCTCTAAATATTTCGTTGGATATTATTCTAGATTTATTTCATTCTAGATTTTTTTAAATTCTAAAATTGTTTTGTTAGATTTAGTCTTGATTTGTTTTATTTTATGCCATGTAATTTGACTGTATTCTTATAATTTTTGTGTTTTGAGTTAGTTTTGTTTGTTTGTAACATTATGCATTACCAAAAAAAAACATTACCTCATTATAATTAACCATATAGAACAAATACACCTATTTTGGCATCATAAAAAAAACAACATGCATAAATCTTGCATATTTATGCCATAGTTGTGATATATTGTGCCCATTATCTTAAACCACAGCATGCTTTTTTTTCTTAAAGGTGCTGTATGTATGTTTTTGACTCTTCTTTTTGACTCTTCTATGACTTTGCAGATATATAAGAAAGTGCTAAGTGTACATTCTTGTTTATCTGAAAAACAATGCTGAAGTCAGATGTTCTGCTTTGAAAAAGTGTTGCATGCCAGAACGTCGGTCATTGTTTTGGTCATTTAACCCGCCCAATGCCAGTTTAGCCAATTATATTTTAGCACCCCGGGTTGCCTTGGTGGAAAACAGTGTAATTCATTCAGTCAGGAAAGCTCTCAAAGTATGTGTCCGTGACCAAAATCCGATCTCGGGTGGACAGTAGCAGACTCCCAAATGAGATGCCGATTTAGAGTTCCAAATGAGGTTATTAATTACCAAATCATATAAACATTAGGTGAGCAGGTTACACTGTAATCCTGTGTCCCAACAACATGATACGTAACGAGATTTGCGGTGACAAGCAATTTGGCTGTTCGCACCAGACGAAACATGACAGAAGTTTATATACAGCCATTCGAAGCACAGAATAGTGCACTCACTGCACTCCAACAAAAAAAAGGTTTATAATCTAAAGTCAAACATATTAAACTTCTTTAACATTATTAAATGTGGATGCTGAATCACTGATGTGTTGGCTTGCACAGAGAGTCACAGCTCTAAAGGTTAATTTCAAATGGTTTATTTTATTTTCAGGACCTGAGGTGAACCATCTGCTGCTGCTTTCAGTATTATGGCAATAAATGTCATGTGAAATGGCATTCAAACTCACATTATTAGCATTTAACAATGAATAAAGCACATGAGATGCACATGAGGTGATCATTGTCAGTTTTCTGTTGTTCAGCTTCAAGAAATAGAAGCCGTTTCTAAAATAAAAATTTCAGGTGTTGGTTAGGACAAAAACTCCTTTTAATATGTAAAATATTCCTTCTATCGCGCGTTGCTGCTTTAGAACACGATTTAAAGCAAGCCCCAAATCAGCCTTTAGGCTTGACAGTCAGACACACTCCTGTTTGTGTCACCAAACTGGCAACCTGTGCTTGCGTGTGGTTTGAACAAGGAGTGCAATACCTAATTCAACCACTGGGTATCAAACTTACATACTGCACCTTTAATAATGACATTAATAGTTAACATTTGGAATGATAGGACAATGTCATATTATTGTGACATAAGTATACATGATCATTCATGGCATAGATTGATTTAAGAATACTTATGTCAAAATTGTGACCAGTTTTTTCGTCTAACTTTTATTTTTTCAGTCAGAATTGGTTTACCAAAGCATGATTTTTTATTATTTGTCAGAAACATTTGCATATAATATTGTGACATGATTATAAATTGTCATAAATGGATGTAAGAATTCCAAAGTCATCATTTTGACATGTTTATCTCATAATAATTATTATTTTTTTGTTAAAATTGATGTACCAAAGCATCAGTTTCTCATTTGCCAGACACATATAGCCTATAATATTGTGACAATCATTAAAAAATGTCATAATTTTGCATCTGTCTTATAATTTCATTTTTTTTTTTCAGGCAGAGTCGCTGTACCAAAGCATGATTATTTTTCCTTTTTTTTTCCTTATTTTTCCTTAATCTTCTAGAAGATTTGAGCTGCCATTATACGAGTAATAAAGCAAGTTTTAAGCAGGTTTAGTTTGGTTCTCGCTCTCCTGGACTCCAACAGAGGGGGCCAAAGTCCATCAGGAATGTCAGCGAACACAAATATCACACATACTTTCTGCGCTCATAAATTACTCGGTTGTTATTTTCAGGCCCCCGAAACACTTAGGCTGATTATTCACAACTGAACGGCTCTGAGAAAAAACAGGCCAAGATAATTCCAGATACCATCTGCCCTACAACGCAAACAGACATAAAACACACATAACCAAATGCGCATTCAAGATTCATGTCGACACCTTTTCATATTTTCAGCGTCTTGAGGATGCTGGATATTACATAATGTGATACGAAGAAATCATTGCGGATGAATAGAGCAAAAAGAACATTAATATCATATTTCAACAGGTCATTTAAATTTAGTTCATTTGGTGTTAAATTTTTTACAAAAAGTTTTAAGGTCAAAATTATTAGCCCTTTTAGGCTATATATTTTTTCGATAACCTAAACAACAAACCAACGTTATACACCAACTTGCCTAATTACTCTAACCTGTCTAGTTAACCTAATTAACCTAATTAAGCCTTTAAATGTCAGTTTAAGCTGTATAGAAGTGTCTTGAAAAATATCTAGTCAAATATTATTTACTCTCATTTCGTTACTGAAATTGGGGAAAAAAATAAACAGGCGGGCTAATAATTTCGACTTAAACTGCAAATTTTCTTTAATTAAATGTATTGTTCGTTTACTAACATCAACAACCTTGTAAAGTGTTCAGTTTTCTAAAATGTGATGTTTACATATGTAAATAAGGTACTATTAATAAAATATGCGCTCATTTGGATACACTTTTATCCCAAATACCTGAATACTGAATGATTTCAGGTTCAAAATGACTGCTTAATGAAACTGTAATATGAAAACAAATTAATTACAGTCAAATGTTTTTGCAGGGAGGATTTTGTTCATCACTTCATAATAATAATAATAATAATAATAAGGTAGAATAAAATGTTTGTGTATGTCAGATTTGTGGATCAATACAAACGAATAAAAAAGGATTAAAAAAAATTTTTTTTTTCTTCATTTTTTCGAAAAATGACAGAAGTTTAAATACAAGCATTCAGAAAAACATAACAGTGCACTCACTGCACTCCAACAAAATGGTAAGGATTACAATCTAAGTCATACATATTAAACCTCTTCAACATTATCAAACGTACATTATTAAACGTACAAACGTACATACATTGCACAGAGAGTCACAGCTCTAAAGTTCAATTTCAAATGGTTTATTTTATTTTCAGGACCTGAGGTAAACTATCTGCTGCTGCTGTTTTCAGTAATATGGCAATAAATGTCATGTAAAATGGAAATTAAACTCACATTATTAGCATTTGACACTGAATTAAGCACATAAGATAAACCTGTAAAGTGTTACGTTTTTTTTAAATGTGATGTTTAAATATGTAAATAAGGTACTATAAATAAAATATGCGCTCGTTTGCATACACTTCTAGCACAAATATCTGAGCAGTGGTTGATGTCAGGTTCAAAATGAATGCTTCATTTATTTTTATATATGTATAATTACAGTCAAATGTTTTTACATGGAGGATTTTGGAAATCTCTGTTAATCACTTCATAATAAAAATTAAAAAGTAAAATAAAATGTTTGTTTGTCAGATTTATGGCTCAATACAAACTAATTTTTGAGAAAAGGTTTATTTTATTTTATTTTTTGCAGGAAATGTGCACAATATGCATTTTAATTTAAGTTTATAGACAGAAACTGATAATGTGCAACTAAAAAAAGTTCATTTTGAGATTTTCATAGTGTTTTTTCCCGATTTAATCTGCATTCCTTTTAATCTGCAGTATCTTTGCTTGAGAAATGCAAACGGATTCATTAATTTTTCCGTGATGTGTCATTACCGTGATACTCTATTCGCCGGTATGACTTGTAAGGTAGCAAGTAGCCAGCCGATGCAATTTGAACGCAAGCACTATTAATAAATCAGGAGGTCAGTTTCAGGGAATCCCTGTCACTACAGCATGTGTGTTTGACACCTTGACGTGTGTGTGTAACTTCAGCTTAGTGTGAATTGGAAGTGTTCACATATTTCTTAAGTCTCCCTGTACAACATGTTCCTTTTATTGGGGAAAATGAAACTACAAATACAGCTGTCAGCTTCAGCACCTACTGACCCCATACGGTAGCAGAGTTTACTGTATGTTTATGACTCTCTATCGTCAGGCAGTATCTCACTGTGGGCCCACACACACTTAGGGAACAATAACATTTTTCATTTTACTCCTTTTTTTTTTTTTTTTCACTCTTTTGTTTTATTATTGAATTGCTTCACTTGTTTTAATTTAAATGTAATTTTTGTTTTATTTTAATACTTATATTACTCTTGTTTTTTAAAATTTTATTTTATTCTTGATTTATTTTTTATACATGTTTTGTATTTTTCTTATTGTATTTTTATAATAATTTATTTTTAATGTTTTTATTTTCATTTTTTTCGTTTTACTTTTAATTCTTGATTCATTTTTTATTCTTGACATTTAAACTGTTAAAAATGTCATTCTTAATTTATTCTTGCTTTCATTTAAATGTTATACTTGTTTTATTTTAAAGTGTATATTTTTATTACTCTTGACTTTTTATTTATTTTAATAATAGTTTATTTTTTCAAAAATGTTATTGTATTTTTAATTATTAATTTACTTATGTTTTTTTATTTTCATCTTTTTTCATTTTGCTTAAAATTTTTGGCTAATTTTTTTATTCTTGACATTTAAACATTTTAAATCTTATTAAGAATTTATTTTTGCTTTTATTTAAATTTTATTATTAATTTATTTTAAATTAAATATTTATGTTACTTCTGAGTTTTCATTTTATTTTTGGTTGATATTTTTCTACAATAATTTTTAAGTACATTTTTGATCATTAAAATAATAATTTTTTTATGTTATCTTTTTACCATTTTTTATTCTAGATTTATTTTATTCTTGACATTTAAACGTTTTAAATGTCATTCTTAATTTATTTTCGTTTTCATTTAAATTTTGTTTTAAATTTAATATTTTCTTGATTTTTCAAAACTCATTTTATTCTTGATAAATGTTTTCTAAAATCTTAATTTGATTGCATTTTTAATAAAGAAGTGTTACAAACAGATCTTAAATAAAACCAGGTGTTGTTTTATGTCTTTATGACTTAATGTGATAGAAGTTAATTACACATTTACTGTAGGTCTTACAGCACGTGTGTCTGTGTTTTTTTTATTTCCTGCAGCGTGTCATCTGGTTTTGATGGTATACGGGAACAGAATATCTGTAATAACATTATGGCGAAGCTGATTCAGAACTACAGCGCCGTCTTTGAGTCTCAGCTGGAAGAAAAACAGACTGAAGAGGAGTCTTCAAACATCATCATGGTCAAAGTGAGTCCTTATGTTTCACGTTTACACAAAAGTCAATATTTGCTGAGCACTTTTGGAACAACATCATTATTTTATGTATGAGAGTGTGTATGGATGTTTCCCAGTACTGGATTGGGGTTAGAAGGGCATTTGCTGTGTAAAACATATGCTGCAATAGTTGGAGGTTCATTCCACTGTGGTAACCCCTGATAGATAAAGGAACTGAGCCAAAGGAAAATGAATGAATGAGTACTGTACATGAATACCCAAGAAGTTGTACACCTTTTGACCGGTAGTCTACATAGTCAGTGTCTCTCCTTGACCTTGCGTTGTGTCTGTTTGCATCGGCAGGCCAAAACGTCATCAAGCTATCTCTCTCATGATGCAACCATCAACAGCATTTTCTTTTTTTCAGTTTCGTCATGTAAAGCCAAGCTTCTTCTGAAAGGCATGCGGTCATGTGCGCTAATGCTTTTACTGCTGCGGTCAGAGAGTACAGGTGACCTCATGTCAGTCCATCATTGTTTTTTCTGATGTTCCCAGGAGGCCAAAACAAACACCGAAAGCACAGAGGCGTCACTTTACACTCCGGTTCCACAGACGCAAACTCCACGTGTCAAGAAGATGAAGGTACGGGTGGGTGATCGCATGTGTGTTTGCAGACCTGTATAGGCGATACGGTATACAGACAGCGTGCGGGTGTGTTTCCACAGTCATATGCACTTCAGAAACAGCGGCCGTCCAATAACACTGAGGTGAAAGCCACAATCACAAGACTCAGCTTTCAGGTTAATCCAAATGATGCAGATCTTGAGTCAAACGAAGGCTTTTCTTAAGGCCAGTAATGCAGTCATTAGGATTAGCTTTACTTAGAGTGCGCAGCAAATCAAAATATACAATGTTTAGTTTGCTAATGCACATTGTTAGTCTTAGGGCGAACAATTGATCTAATCTGCTTTAAAATAAAGCTGTTTGTTTTGGTAATCGAATTAAAATCTATCCATCTGAACATCAGTTTGACCAGCCGGATCTCACCAGAAAACGTAACTATTTTACGTTTTGTCGAGGCTAATCCGTAAAGTTTAGTCATACATAAATGTTTGATTTTTAAAAGGAGGTGTGGCACCAAACTCCACCCCTAAACCTGACTGTTATTGGGGGATGAACAAATTGTACTAAATTGTACGAATTAGCTACTAAAACAAAAAGTTACGTATTGCCATGAGATGTTGGTTTGATGGAGTGGGCGAGATATATTAAGTCACACCCTCCAGCCATTAGTTCACTGCTAGTGAAAGATGAGAGGAGGAGCACAAAAATAAACCCCACCCCCATTCAAATATTGTTTCAGTTAGAAATACGTCATCATAATGTAAAAAAAAAAGTCTGTTTGTAATGGATTTGTTTAAGTGTATAATATCTGAAAACACATATTCCATCTGAAAATGCACATTCATCGAATTAAAAACAACAACATCCGAATGCAAAAACTGTGCATACAAATGTGTCAAAAGTCGTATGAGACATGATAATGACGCACTTTAATACTTAATGTTTCATAACATTTCAAGTTTTGAATTTAAACATTTGAAGTCATCCTAAAATAACAAAAAAATTATTATTAATTAATAAATAATCAAATATTGCATTATAAAGGGTGTCATCAGAAATCTTATCAAAAAAGCCTTTATTAGTAGGGTTCCTGCTCATTTAGATTTTGGAATCTGTGCGTGAATTCCGCAGATTTTCCACAGATTTTCGCAGATTTTTAGCCCATCATTGATTCTGTTTATTTACTTGAGTAAATGTGTGTAAATCTATATTTATTTAGTTAAGTAGTAATATTCTTGACTAATATGAAAATGTTCATCTGAGATATGTACAATGCAGTTTGTACAATAATATTTTCTGTCTTTTAGTAGTTATGTTATATGAGAGACTTGCTTTGTTTACTTAATAATGTGAATCTAACTGGATTTGCATTTTAAACATTAAATAAGAGTTAAAAAGATGCTATTTTTTATTTCACATATTAAGGTTTTAGTTATGATACTCTCAAAATAATTCGGCAGAAATCCGCAGACTTTTGATTTTTAGATTTTTGAGTTAATTAGTAGGACTGGTGTACCTAATAAAGTGGCCAGTGAGTGTATACCTGTACAGTGTCAGGTTTTTCCAATATTGTGCAGAGCTATAGTTTCAGCTAGACTGGGAATAGAGCTATTTCTCTAATGCACAATATGTGGAAAACAATGTTTTTTATACAATACTACATCTACAAAACAAAAGCCCTTTAAAATAGCACCATGTTATCCTGATATTACTTGTAATTTCACATTCTACACAATGTTATGTATATTGTCAATAAAAACACTTATCAAAATTTTTTTAAAAATAAATAGCACCATGTTGCCTCTTTAACAGCGCATTAAGACGATCACCACAGAAGGGGCTGGGCAGTAAAGTTAGGGGCTCATCCGGGATACGAAATCTCTTGAAATTCCCATCATGCTGACTTTGGATCAGATTCTTGTGACCTTAATTCCTGTTAAAGGCCTGGCTAGTGATGTATTTGTCTTTCCGATGGGTATTAAAGTTACACCCCTGAGGGTAACACAAAAGGTGTTTTTGTGGACTACAGGATGTGTTTGCTTATGCGCCGAGGAGCAACACTGAGTGAAAGATGAAGAATAGACCTACAGTAGCCCGTGCCAAGTACATATCTTGATAAACACTAAGTCAATAAATACATAAAGTCATCTGCGTATTTGCTCTCTTGATAAATTGCACAAACGTGCACACTGTAATCAGGTTTTCCCATATTCACAGCGTTTCCTTTTATTAATGCGCATTTGTGCAAGACGCATGAAAGAATGAGGGCTCTGTTTTGTGTGAATTGAATTCTCCCTTCTAATTGAATGATGTCAGCTGCATATGACGGTGGTCATGCATACGTGCTCAAAGTCATGTGTATGTGTCTGCTGGAGACACACTAGATGGGCTGGGTCTCATGTTTGTGTATGTTCTCTCTATGAAACAGCACGCACCGTGACGCGCTTAAATGTCTGGCGTGACGTTTTAATAACAATAATATTGTTTCTGTAGATTAAAAACGTGTGTATAGGTGCAGTTTTTCTCTGCTTTAGTTTTTCCATGTACGTTAATATTCACAAGTCTCTGGTGCACACGAAGACTGTCTTTACTGGATCAAAATAAACAGTAAAACAGCAAGATTTTGACATGTTGTACATGAACACATTTTAAAAATGTACAGTGGGGGAAAGGAGTATTGAACAAGTAATGTTTTTTTCCTGGGAATAATACTTCTAAGGGAGCTGTTGACATGGAATTGAACCAGATTTAGGTAAAAAGTCAAACAATACAAACATAAAAATAAAACAAAACAAATCTGAAAAAGTGTCATTTAGTTCTGTGGGTTCCGTCTTTCAAATCTGATCTTTCTTTTGTATTCTCTATTGGATTCAAGTCAGGTGATCGGCTGGGCCATTCTACAGCTTGATTTTCTTTCTCTGAAAGCATTTGAGAGTTGCCTTGGCTGTGTTTTGGATCACTGTCTTTCTGACATGTCCACCCTGGCTTCATCTTCATCATCCTGCTAATGTAGATGTTGAACTGAAGCAGCGAATATCCATTTACACTGATGAAGGACAGAGGGTTGCTGATGAAGTACTGAGAGATTTCAGCTGCTGTCTGGGCTTTCACTGCCTTTCTACACCTTCCTTTTTTCATGTGTTTAATACTTTTCTCTGCGTGATTTCATTTTTTTACGCATAATTTTATTTGTAAACTAATTAGTTTTGTTCTCTTTGCATATATGGCTTTCTTTGGTTGTTACCAATATTTTGTGAGAAGTCAACAGTACCTTTATAAATATGTTTTCTGAGAAAAATGGTGATGTGATCAATACTTTATTTCCCCCACTATATGTATTTGATGCTAAAGTTGAACTTTCGTCAGTCTTCAGTGTCTCAGAAATCTTTGCAACACGCTAATTTGCACATTGATAATACTGTCTAGATAATAGGGTTAGGTCGATAGACGATGCCGTTGTCTATTGCCGATGGCCAATAGACAACACAATGTTGAGCCGGCATCACCGATCCTCTGCCCCTGTTGCAAACCAGCTCGCGAAAAATAAACACTTAGTCCCCGTTTACACTAATACGTCTTAGTGTTAAAATGGCATTTTGGAATGAAAATGATCTACATCCTCACCGTGTTTTACCTAACATTTCTGAACAGCTGAAAGCACATCATGTGACCACACACACTGTCATGCGCTTGTAGCTCCAGAGAGCAGTGCAATAAAGTATGTACCGCTGGATCACGTCTCACGATAGTTGTTAAACGTGATATTTATTTGATCTTGTCTCTATCTGACGACTCTTCGGTCGTTTGAGTCTACCAGGTAACGTGTCACAGCATCAGTACACTGCTTTAGTCTTTTACTTTCACACTTGTACTTAGTAATTTTTGTGAAAACCTCAGATACTGTTGGTTGGGCACCTTTTTTACCAACCAACCTCCTGCTGAAAAAGTGATTGACAGGTGGTAATTTGTTTGTAACTACTCTTTATTTATTTATGATTTGTTTATGGGTAAAACAAAGACCATGCGGGTCAGGTAATTGAAACAGTAGGCTACAAATAATTAACTTGTTATAAATTAAATAGTTATTCATAAATAATTCATTCACCTCCGCCTATGACGATGATGCCATCGTCCATCGCGATGTTTCACATTAATCACCGTACGATGTCAAATTGGTCGACATCGCCCAATCCTACTAGATAATATTTAACAAAAACCTTTTTTAAAAAGTTGTGCAGTTTATTTGAATTCTTTTGGAAATAGTGTTTCTTTTTTAATCAGCATATTTGATCCTTTGTACATTATACCCGTTTTACTGTCATTTTTAATCAATTTAATGCATCATTGCAAAAGTCAAACTAGGGCGGTGTGATATTGAAGAAAAATGCGATAGCATGTAAAAACAATGCTATATTTGATATGCAATACCATACTAAATATTGTTACACCAACATGTATTTCATTTTATTTCTAGGAAAACCAGCATCTGTACATCTTTTAAAAATACAGCTTTGTTTAAATGTTGCATAAAACAAAAATAAACAAAACATCACCAGCCCTTTCCTCTACTGGAACAGATTTATAAACCTGAAAACATTAAGAACAATCAGCAAAACAGAAACAATTGAAAGAGTAGATTAACGTGCAGTCTTATTGCTTTCTTAACACGTCTCTTTTGCGGGGTCATATTTCAGCATCCTTACTAAAATCGGTATCACTTTTTCAAGCTGTGTAATGACAGGTACAAAAGATACTTTTGTATGAAACCACTAATTTATTGCAAACCATTGTGATGTGTATATTGAAGTATTTACAATTGCCATATTTTGATAATTTCCATATATTGTGCAGCCCTAGTCAAAAACCTTTAAACCACACTAACCTAAAACCTTTGGGACATTAATGCGCTTTTGTTTTATGCTGTTTTCAAGTGGCATTTCAAGTTAAATGATATCTATAATATCACCTATAATAAAAATCCAAATGTTTTGACTAATCTCTATTTTTTTTTATTAGGTCACACAATGCACTCCAGTTGAAAATACAGATTCTTCAAGAAAACAGTTGAGTCCAGACAACCCTGCATCAACACCAAGAAAAAAAAAGGTAAGATTCACCAATATTCTCTATTTAGATAACCATATCTCTTTTATAGAATTGCTTTGTCAGATACGCAATGTAGAGGGCTTGAATAGTTTTTATTTTTGCTGGCAAATACGGTCACGATCACCAGCGATCCACTCCTGACAGATCGCTGGTGAACTACAAATGTCATGTTGAGGAACTACAAATCCTATCAGGCCATGTCACACACACCAGCTGCTCATCACGGCTGATGAGACACACACAGCTGAGACTTGTGTTTCCTGATCATTCAGACTATTTATACACCGCACATACACCAGTTTAGCATGGAGTTTTTGATGTTGATGTATGTTTGTATTTTTTTGTTTCGCCTGGTTTTTGATCTTAGCCTTGTTTATTGTTTGATCTTTTGCTACCTATTTTGACTAGTGGTGGGCAAAACGAGGCTTCATGAAACACTGAAACAGTCGAAGCAAATGTGTCCAAGCTTCGAAACGTTTAGAAACCCGTCTCTACAGTGACACCTAGTGGTCACTTTTTGTGTATTGCACTGGAACAGCTTCAGTAAGGAACATTTGAGCAAATTGAGGTATTAAACACCACTTTGTAGCATTGAACCTTCAAGTGATTTAGACAAGCAGTTAGGATTTGTGAACACCATACGGGGATAGTGGGTTCGATTCCAGGCTGAAGTTATTTTGAAATGCTTTACTATCAGTTGGTAATGCTTTGTTCTTGTATCGTTTCGTTTCAACTTTGGTCTGACATTCGAATAAACACTTTTGTGAATAAATTTGTCTTGTTTTGGTCATAAAACAGGGTTGTTGCTAGATCAGATACAGTTGTGGCCAGAAGTTAACAAGAATTATTTATATTATTCATTAAATTTCCTATTTGTTGTATTTTATTAACGTCAATCCAAAACCCCAAACCCAACCATCACAGTACTGTAAAAATATTCATTATTGTTTTAGAGTGTTACAAAAATGATGCTAAATTGTTGGCGTATCCGCAGCTTTATCCTATCTAGACAACACCATAATACAGTAACATTATTAAAACACATAAAATCATGATGTTGGAGTATTTGTACGGGATTCGAACTCAAAATTAATTTGAAACACAGTGACAATGTGCATACGCACGGTCCATTTGGCCATATGGGACAGAAACTTAATTCTGAGCATGTCAGTCAAATGCAAATTCTCCATGTCTCGAAATGCTTCTGTAATGATCAACGATTTAAATCGCTTTAGTCACGTGACCAGGTGTTTCGAAACACTTTAGTCACGTGACCTGGGTGTTTCGGATCATGCTTCGGTGCAGTGTTTTGAAACACTTGCGCTTCGGGATCTCAACACTGTGCCGAAACGTCAGTTTCATGTCAGCCATCCCTAATTTTGTCTTTATGCCAGTTTTTTGATTACATTTTTTGTATTGCCTTTTTTGTACCAGCCACTTTTATTTGTCCCTGTTTTGCATAAATATAATCTTATTTTACCTGTACTTGGATCCTCGTCTCTGTTATTCTTTGCTTTGATCCCCACCCTTGACAAATATCTTGTAAAAAGCGATTACCTAAAAAAAAACTTGTTGCCTTATAACTATTTAGTAAACAAACTGTGTGCATAATTATAAAAGTTAAGTCAATGGGTTTACTGACTTTTTTAAAAGTAAAATCAATATGTTGCTTTAACGGCAACGGGTTAACTGGAAATTTTAAAGTAAAGTAACTAATCCCTTTTACAGTGTATAATTGAAATGAAATAAAAATTCACACAATGCATAGATCTTATTACGAACAAACAATTAATTTTATGTTTATTAAATCATACAAGTTAAACCAACATATTAGGAAATACCCATTCTTATAAAATACCATAAGAAATACTTCCTACTTCTGGAACTGTTAACTGTAAATTACAACCACCATTTATAAATTCCATCACAATATATTAGATTGCAGTGTCAATGAGGAAAAATTAAGCACTAGTTGTGTGATCTCTTATCTAGCCATTAACCACAAGTAAGTTGAGAGTGAAATCCTCATTGTGGTTTCCTGGAAGGAAGCGTCTTCGCATTCGTAAATCTGAAATATTTCGCCATCTTCCTGAAATATCTCTAAGGTCGTAACACACACCGCCAAATGCTGTGTTTTTGTGTTATCTTTGCAATCCAAAGCTATTGAAAGTCCTGTGTTTACATAGACATGTGGTGCTGATCAAACCGAGTTAGACCAGATAAGGCCTGTGGGAGAACCGTCTAATCTGCAAAGCGATGAAGTAAACAGGCTGAGAATTGCTGATGGAAAAAAAGACATGATGTGACTTTTGTGAAAAATAAGAGCACTTCCTACAGCGGAGACGCTTCCAGTTTCATGAGGGGTCAATGAAATCATTCAAACATGTAGCACTAGCTGAACTGGCCTTCTCAGATTTCCAGCATTTTGTTTTGGGAAAAGCAGCATAAACAAATAGAACTTCATACATGGGACATCTGTTGACATCCGAGTTTGACAGAAGTTATCTTGACTTCTCTGCCATTTCAAGCTGATGAACATTTGCTCATTGACTTATTTAGATTGGATACTCTTTATCTCTTAGTTTCGCATTTCCTAGTTTTGATTTCATTGTTATTGTCATTGAGTTTTCAATACAAACAATCACAGAAACGTGAAAGAAATGGTTTGCTTATCATTAACCTATACAAGTGTTAAAGGTCACAAAGACTTCATCGGACCCTTAATTGATCAATGCATTGCATCTAGGTTTTAAGTTTCTAAAAAAAACAAAGGATCTTGCTGAACTCTAGCATTGTGCTTCTCATTGACATGCTTAATGCATTCCATAGCAATCAATAACTGTGCTTACTGTACATACTTTGTTTTGAATTTTTTGTTAATAATCAATGTGATAGACCATCTCCAATATGGTGAATCTTGAAGGGTGTGTTAATTATCTCTGTTGAAATGTAACTAGTCAATACATTACTTGAAGATTCTCCACCAATTGCTACATTTCCATCCCCCTATTTTTATGCTCATTTTTAATTATGAGCATAAAAAAACCGCTGATGGAAACGCCAAGATGCGTATACATTTTGAAAATGCACAAACAAAATGCATGCGCGTAACTGAGTAGGAAAAACTTAACCCAATAAGATGCACATAAACTACGACGGAAACACTTTTACCGAACTAACTCCAGAATGATTTCCACGTGATTTCGTTTTAAGAGATCATTTGATGATAAAAATGTGTGTGAATGGACAAACCAGGCGGCTGAGCACATTGTAAAACATCTGTAATGTTGTTTTGCTCATTCTAAAACACCTTAACCATGTCAGTATTGGTGTTGTTATATTAATAATGACCTCCAGCGCTGTCAAGAGCGTTTGTTCTCCACGTCTCATGCCTTTAAATGCCACCACACGTTCATTGCACATCGGCATACTGTCTTCTGAGGCACAAGTTATATATTAAAAAAAGAAAACATTCATGCAGCTTCTCCTACTGCAGTAAATTCGAATCTGCTGCCATGGTGACACACAGGCTTTATAGCTCCATGCTCTTTTTAAAAGCACAATCTCGTTTAAATTTAAAGCCACAGTCGCCAAAATGGCACAATTTGGAAGAAAGCCTAAAGAGGGGAATGTTTAAAAGAGTAATTATTATTAATAATAAGGTATTATTTGTGTGGTAGTTTGAGCTGAAACTTCACATACACACCCTAAGGAAATCAGAGAATTATTTATAGTATATTTATATTTATAGTATATTTATATTTAGGGTGCTTTCACACCTACACTTTTGTTTCGGAACGTATCTCGTTTGCCCAGTTAGCGCGATTCGTTTGGCATATGTGAACAGGGCAATCGCGCTCTGTTCCGCACCAAAGCAATTGCTCCGAGACCACCTGAGTGAGGTGGTCTCGGCTCGATTGAAACGAACCCTAGAGCGGTTCGATTCCAGTGAGAAAACGATCAGATCCGAGCGCGGTTATATCACAATGTTTTATGGATATGTAATAGGCATACGGCTATATGAAGGGAGAATTATGAGTATGGCAGGAAGTTTTGCGAGTCTCTGGATGCCCGCAAACGAGTGATGATCTCCTGGTAATCTCGCGTCTCCCTCCCGGTCCTCAAATAGGCATCGTCGCACACCCTTCTCACCCCTCCCCACCTCCCCTCCTCAGACACGTCGCATGCGCGCACCCTGTCAATCACCACCAAACCACCACCTCTCCTGACAGCTGAGCGGGACGCTGCAAAATAAACCCTGACACTCTGACCAATGTGAGGAGAGTTTACCCGCACGTGACTTGTTTTAGCTCTTTTGGTCCGATTAGAAACTTTGCCGTGTGAAAGCGAACCGCTCCAAGAGCAAAGAGCAACAATGTAACATTTGTAATCTCTGTTTCGGAACAACTGAATCGATTCACAGTTGTGAAAGCACCCTTAGAGACTTATTTATAGTATAGTTTAAGACTTACAATACGTCTCCTTTAATGTGTGTGAATGCAAGTATGAACACTACACATTTTAGATTGCTGACTGATCACATGGTGTTCCTATTTTTTATTTTTATTTTTTGCTAGGTCACTCAATGCACTACAGTTGACAGTGCAGACCTGTCAAGAGAAAATGAGTCAGGTGCAGACGACCCTACACCCACACCAAGAAAAAAGAAGGTAAGAGTTGCTGCAAAACATCAGGCAAGGGTTTAAATGAATAGTGGAAATAATGAAAATCATAATGTTCAAAATTCCAAGGTTTATAAAACTAAAGATGAACATATAGCCACTTAAAATAGAATCTGTAACCAAAAATGAACCATTTATTTAGGAAAGATGTATACTGCCTGACAAAAGTCTAGTCGTTGATCCCAGTTGTAAGAGCAACAAATAATAACTTGACTTCTAGTTGATCATTTGGAAGGGTAGATTTTTCTGATGAATCGTCAGTTGAACTGTATACCAATCATCACAAATACTGCAGAAGACCTACTGGAACCCGCATGGACCAGTCAAGTCAAGTCAGTCAAGTTTGGTGAAGGAAAAATCATGGTTTGGGGTTACATTCAGTATGGGGGAGTGTGAATGATCTGCAGAGTGGATGATCAACATCAACCGCCTGAGGTATGCAGACATTTGTGCTGCCCGTTACATTACAAACCACAGGAGAGGGCAAACTCTTCAGCAGGATAGCGCTCCTTCTCACACGTCAGCCTCCACATTAAAGTTCCTGAAAGCAAAGAAGGTCAAGGTGCTTCAGGACCGGCCAGCCCAGTCACCAGGCATGAACATTATTATTGAGCATGTCTGGGGTAAGATGGAGGAGGCATTGAAGATGAATCCAAAGAGTCTTGATGAACTCTGGGAGTCCTGCAAGAACGCTTTCTTTGCCGTTCCAGATGACTTTATTAATAAATTATTTGAGTCATTGCAGAGATGTACGGATGCAGTCCTCTAAGCTCATGGGAGTCATACACAATATGAATTTTTTCTCCACTGCCTTTTATATTTTCTTTATCTTTATATTTCTTTATTATATATTCTTAATCCAATGTCTGTTACTCTATACTGTACATTATTTCTGTTAAGTGACAAGACTTTTGTCAAAGTCAGACCTTGCTGTCATAATGAAATAATTAAAAATCAAGCCATGATCATATTATATTTTGGTAAAATAAGCTTAATCTAAAGGCCTTTGCCTTTCATATAAGCCACATCTGATGCCAAATGATCAACTAGAAGTCAACTTATTATTTGTTGGAAAGGCGACAAGACTTTTGTCAGGTAGTGTATATTCAATTAATCCAAAGTGACAGTAAACATATTACATCCTGCAATCCTGAAAAGCTGCATCACGTTTACCTCAATAATGTAAATGCTGGAGTAAATTATAATTTTGAAATCTCTGATTTGCAATACCAAAGTTTCTGTTAAAATGTAATAATATGTAATAATATTGATTAAGTCAGCATTGGAGAGCATACAAGTCTTCTATCTATATTTAAAAGTCTGACCTCTTATCTACAGTCAATGAGTAACTAGTTTATCTACACACATACTTATAATGTAAACAGCAGTAATGATCTGTACTTAAGCTTTTAAAATCAATCAAGATAGCTATTCTATTTTAAAGGTGTGTTACGCTGTAAATGCTGGGTTCTACACAATCGATTTGAGTTGGGACAACATGAAGGAATTAAGTGAACTTATTCATTTTTACAAATTTAAGTGGGTTGAACGTAAAACAATTAAAGGGGTCCCCAAACAAAACTCAAGAATTGTGTTGTTTCTGCTCAATTTAAATCAGTGGTTTGAACAAACAGGAAACGTCATTTTTTGAGTGTACTGTATTTTAACAATTGTTTTATTTTAGAAGTAAAATGTTTAATGGAATTATGAACAATTCATGTTGTTGATTTTTTTGCAGTTTATATACATTTTAAAGATATTTTTTGTAAGTTTTTATGATATTTTGGTGGACATATATATATTGCAGCCAGTTTAGACCAGTCATGTCAACTTCTCAGAGTATATAGTAGGGGTGTCAAAATTAATTGTTTCTTCGGTGCACCGTGATGCAGACGCAGACAATTCGGTATCAGTTCAGTAATAATCATAACCGGTTATTATGTACTGACGTCATTTATCTCCTATGCGATCTGTCGCGAGGGAGGTGAGCGCGAGTATTTACAAAATATGCCCGTGGCATAGGCAGTATAGGCAAATGCTAAGGGCGCTGTATATCCAGGGGGGCGCCAGAAATGAGCACAGTTCAGTTAGTTTTGTTTTCGATATTCCTGACACATTCAGTGTTAGACGGCAATAACTCAAAAACCTCTTACCCTAAAAAGATCTAAAGTGTGTTTCCTACAAAAAGACAAAGCTGGTTATGTTTCACAGATGTTTTTTTATTTTTTTTCACTCGACATTACGAGCACTGCTCCGTTTAAGCCCTCGCAATATGTGTTTAGCTGGGAGAGCTCGCGCTGAGAGGAGCTTTTTTTCGTTTTTCTGCTACGCTCAGCTCGAGCTCTCCCTGTTGCGAGGGCTTAAGTGTGTGTTTGTGTGTGTGTTTGTTTGTTTATTTGTTTGTTGCTGTCTATGTTTGTGTATGTGTGTGAATGAGAGACAGTGTGGTGCTGTGTGTCTGTGTGTTTATACAGACAGCTTGTTATAGCCTCCCCCCTAAAATATAACACTGTATATAGAAAGCATCGTCAATGCACCGTAATGCACCGAGATATCGAATTGAACCGAAGGCATGATAATCGTAACCGAACCGAACCGTGAGACCAGTATAGATTCACACCTCTAGTATATAGTAAAGTTTTTCTTAGTCGATTCAAGAATGAATTATTTAATGTTTCTCTCGGTCTTACGGCTGTGCGTCCACAGTCAGCTGCAAAGCCAAGCGAAAGTAGGCTTAAGTTGACAGGTAATGCACAAATGCATACGATTAACGACAGCTATAGAAAGTCAAAGCAAAAGATGAATTCCCGGACATTTTAGGACATTTAGAAAGCCCAGCCGGACAAATTTTTTAAATTCCAAAAAGGTGCGTCTCTGTGGGTCTGCAGAGATTTTACACTATTTTAACCATAGTAATCATAGTAAAAAATGTGTCACTAACTATATGTGGGTGGCTGTTAATATACCTTGGCGTCTCGCCCAAGTAAAGTCTACAGTATGTGTGAAAGGCACTAGTGTGTATGTGTTAGTGTTTAAAAACAATATATAATTAGTGCACTACAGTGGTGTAAGATAACAAATTACAATTTAAATTACATACTTAAAGTACTGTAATCTTTTTTTTTTTCCTCAGAAATTGTGCTTTATTAATTGTACTCTAGTTTTAAAATTGTGTACTTTTGCTTTCCCTTGAGTACATTGAGTACTTTTATTCCACTACTTTCCTTCAACCTGCAGTCACTACTGTATTTTTTTCCAGTCTATGGGGATTAGAAAAATCAGTCCTGTGCAATCAAATTGCAGATAGAAGGTAAATCGCCTCTTAATGAACTAGCCCAAGACATGGGCGATTTATAATTGCAGCAAACTGTTTGGAAGCATTAAAAGTGTCCAAGAAGATATCCAAAATCTTTACACGCAATGACCCAGAGACTGTTTAGATGCATGTCATTGATGAGAAGATGACGGATGTTTGCTGTATGATGACCAAAATACATTGAGTAATAATTACAACAGATACTTTTACTCTACTTGCACTACATTTTTAGGCAAGTAATGGTACTTTTACTTCAGTATGATTTTTCACTACTCTTTCCACCACTGGTGCACTATATATTCTGAGACTCTCAAAAGCTCTACATTTGCTTTATATGATGGTGAACTGCCTGAACTCTTCACAGGAAGGTGACTGTTTCATGTACTCCATGGTAACCTGTGATGTCAACTCTCCAACCTTTCTCTAATCAGTCATTGCAAGGCTTTTAATGCAGAACTCAATGAAACAATGATTTTCCCGGTTGCCGTTTGCATCATTAACACATTAGCGTATCGATGTCCAGATCTCACTCAGTTACTGTGCCTTAAATGACTCCCACGTGGACTACAATCGATAGAGTCCTCTTTACCCCAGTCAAAGCCATTACCTACTGACCGTCTGAGCCTTCCCGACTAAGTGGCCGGAGGATCAATCTAATCCTATTGTAGTCTTTTGTGTTACGTGAATATATTGCATGATCTCATTTGCAAAGCGAGGTACATTTGGTCATTGCTTCTGATGGGCTGTTGTTCAGAAATCAATGCTAGGTTTAAATTTCAATTGTCTCTTGAGGCGAAACAGATTTACAGCTGCAGACTGATTGAATGACTGCGATTTCGTTTAGTTTAAGGTCCTGTAATACATGGGTGTTGTTTATTTGAAGCTCAGCTAGTTGTTCTCATCGTTAATTGGCAATGAGTCGACCTGAACCCGACTTGGCTTATCTGCGAGTGCGATTTTTTGCATATTACACTTATTCGACAGGTTTTCGCCAGGTAGTGCCGTTATCGGTTAGCAAGGTAAGACAAATATGCTCTAAACTTATTTATACACACCTTTTATTGCAAAAAATGTGCTGATTTCATCAATACAACTTAAATTTACTACACAACAAAGCAAAATATGACAGGATTGCCACAGATTTTTTCTTTGTACAGTATGATAAAGGTTTACCGTAGTATGCTGAATGTGTTTTTTCTGTTGTTTTGTTTGTATGTTAATACCAACAAGAATATTACAGGAATAGTACATGAAAATAGACACAATCATGGGGTAAATAATGCAGAAATGTGAACATAATAAAATACATTAACGCAACAAGTATGTGCTAAACTTATTTTTAAATGCCTTACCTTACAAAAATGTGGTAATTTTGGGCTACTTCATCAATACAACTTAACTTTACCACACAACAAATGAGCCAAGCAAAATCATCACAGGATTTGCACAGCTTTTTCTGTTTGTTTGGCATCACAAAATTTACAATCGAATGCTGTATGTGGTTTTTCAGTTGATGTTTTTTGTATGGTAATACCAACAAGAATATTACAGGAATAGTACATAAAATACGACACAATCTTGGGGTAAATGCTACAGAAATGCGAATAAAATATAAACATTAACGCAATAAACCGGGCTAAACTTTTTTTTAACACACATTCCCTTACAAAAACATGGTGATTCTGTGGTACTTCATCAGTGCAACTTAAATTTACCACACAACAAATGAGTCAAGACACATATGACAGGATTACCACAGCCTTTTCTGTTGTTTGGTATCACAATATTTACAATCGAATGCTTTATGTGGTTTTTCTGTTGGTGTTTTCTTGTATGGTAATATTAAAGGAACAGTACATAAAATATGACACAATCCTGTGGTAAATACTACAAAAATGTGAACATCTTTTAATACATCAACATAACAAATATGTGTTAAACTTAATTTTACATGCCTTTCCTTACAAAAATGTGGTAATTCTGGAGTACTTCATTAATAAAACTTAAATTTACCACAAAACAAATAAGCCAAGCAAAATAGGACAGGATTACGACTGAATGGGTTTTTTCTGTTGTTTTGCTTGTATGGTAATACCTACAAGAATATTACAAGAATAATATATACAATATGACACAATCCTGTGGTAAATACTACAGAAATGTAAACATATTTTAATACATTAACACAACAAACATGCGCTAAACTTATTTTTACATAACTTTCCTTACAAAAAATGTGGTAATTCTGGAGGACTTCATCCATACAACTTAAATTTACCACACAATAAATGAGCCAAGCAAAACGAGAGTGTTGTTTGGTATCACAAAATGTGACATTGGATGTTGTGTGTGGTTTTACTGTTGTTTTTTGTGCGGTAATATCAACAACATCATCACAGGAATATTACATCCTATACAAATAAAATCATGTGGTAAAACATTAGTAAGCCTGTATGAGATTATATTTACAGTGTTAAATGCATTTTTCAGGTACAAACCATCACATTGTTTGTTCATTATTGCCTAGGGCTGGGTATCGTTTAAACCTTTTCGATACGATACTTTGATTTCGATATTGGTTCCTGAACAATACTTTTTTGACACCAATTGTTATAATTTTTTTTTAACAAAATTACTCTCTTTATTTTTTGCTGATTTTTCCTTGCAAAAACTCTTAAAAGCTCAAAGAAACTAAATGTAACCAAACAATTAATCAGTCTAAATAAATTCAAATAGTTTTCAGTTAAACATGATTATTATTTCATGTCAAAAGGACATTCTTAGGCAGTTCTACCTTAAATTTTGCATTTACCACACTAGTTCTATGTGGTACGTCTAAAGTTTTATCATATATAATTCCTCAGGTCATTTTTGTAACAGTTTGCACTAAAGATAATCAAAACCCCCAGCTTCATTCTCTTTTTTATTCTTTAATCAGTCTATTCATTTTTATATTTCAGGTGAAGAAGATTAAGACAGAAGCTATGTCCAGATCTATTCCTCAACCGACTCCCTCTGGTGATCCAGTCTCCAGACCTTCGCCCCATCTTCCAGACCGAAGCTCAGGTGCTGGAGATCAGTTTCATCTGCACAGTCCAGACGGGAGTTTCAGCCCTAGTGCTGACAGCATGAACGTGACCATGAGCCCTGCTAGATCAACAGGAACCTTCAACAGGTCAGTGCACATTTAGACACCTTTACACTAGACAGGTTATGTTTAGCTCATTTACTACTATTGTTCTGAGTGGTTTTTATTGTTAAACCACTCCATTCCGTACTCATCTGGTCCAATCAGCATTTAGTTTTATTTGATTTGGTTTTATTTCCCAGAGTGCTGATATTGGAACTATTTGGAATGCAATACAAATGCGCCATTAATTGCCTTGCCAATGCAAGTGTTACATAAACTGCAATATGGGCGATTAGCAAATATTTCAGTTTTTGGGACTACTTTTTTATCCAGACATTTATTTCGTTGATTAACAAAGATAAATAAATAGCGTGTTTTGAATAACCAGCTATGGAGAAATTGGCAGCCATGCAAAAGAGTGGCGACTTCAAGTTGTCACGTTTTTTAACAATTGTCAAACCTTTCTTAGAATTCCCAGGTGAGAATAATTTGTAATCATATTAAAACCATTCTGCATGACAGTGGAAAAGTGTTTTTTTTTTTTATTCAACAGAATGTCACATGGTATTTTAAAGTGTCCGGAGTTCCCTACAACAGCTTTAAATGCATCAAATATGCATATTTTTAATGCGTTTTTATGCTAATATGCATTTAATATCAGGATTATTCTGGAATGATTTTGATTCAGTTTGTTTGAATCGCTTTGAGGCTTAAGGTCTGTAAGCCCCTCCCTTCCATAAGCCAACTCTGCTCTGATTGGTCAGCTAGCCAAGTCTGTTTTGATTGGCAGTTCTGTATCTATTCTGTATGTGAAACTAAACGCCCATTTCAGAGTGTTCAAATTTTGTGGATAGGCAGGGATTATGCTAATGTGTCACTTTGACCGTGCAGAAGTTTACAAGAGCAGGAAAAAGAATCGAAAATATAATAATTTGTTAAGGCTTTTCAGAGTCGACTCTTTCTTTTATAAGACTTAGGTCTTCATAAGATTTATAAGATACTTTATATATCATACTTATTTTTAGCAACTTTGCAGAGAGTTTACACTGAATGACAGCTACATTACAAACTGCAAATGGGATATTTCCTGGAAAACCATTTGACCTACTCTTAAAAGCAACTCTGGTGTGACGGCTCTGACAGTTCAGCTGAACAGAATAGGTTGCCACCTTGCTATGCACAAAACAAACAGAGCGAGACCTCTGAAAATATGGGTGTCAATCTGTTTCCATTTGAACTTTGGTGCAATTTGGCTAATATATGAATGCAACTCAGACTAATGACATCCAAACAAGCCAAAAATAGAATGAGAATTAACAAGCTGCAACCCTGAAATAAAGAAAATCCTCAAGCAGACCTGTTTTCTTGTTAAAAATAAAATGGTTGGTGTGATGAGGGAATTCCTGTTTACAATAGCAAAATATAAATATAATGTTTAGACATACAATAAGTGTGTTTAGCCCAGCACACAGCACTGTTGTCCTGTCATTACAACATTTGTTTAAAGGTCCTAGGGCTTGAACATAAATGTGAGACCGTAAATTCTAAGTAAATCAGGGCTAAATGTATTATTGTTTGAACCAAGAGAACCAAACTATACTGTAAAAATATCTGTTAATTGTTCTGTTAAGTGTTTTCCATTTATTTACAGTTGTGAATTGCAATATGGGACCTGCAATTGACTTTTAATGTGGAAAATTCAACTCTACGGTTTAACAAAGTAACTTTTATTGACAATTTAGTAATTTAAAATAATATAATTTATAAGCAAAAAAGAATATAGAGAGAAATGAGTCAGAAATAACATAAAATGTGCTGGCAGCTTATTACAAGATTTTTGCAGCATAATATACAACACCAACACAGACAATATCACTTTAAACTAGTAAAAATAAAAGTCACATAAAAGTCACTTTTCAGTACTTCAAGGTTATAAGTTGTTTGAAGAATCTTCAAGGTTCCACAATGCAATTCAATCGCATAAATAAATGTGGAAAAACAAAAACATGAATAACAAAATAAGAGAAGCTGCTAATTTACAGATATTTTTTGTAGTTTACAAATAAAACAACCTGTTTTTATTCTCTTTTTTGTTTGTTTTTGAAAATTGTTCAATTGTTCATGACTTTTAAAAAACTATTTAATTTTATTTTTGAATATGTTGGTTGCCTGTGTTTTCTGTGACTCAAACTCAAAAATCTTCTGAAGCCAATTGCCTGAAACTTTTGTTTCCTTAACTTTTGATTATTTGCAGTTACTTAAACTATCAGGTTTTGTAAACAAAGTTTTAAATTATTAGGACTTCATATTTCTAGTTAATTAAACATACAACTGAAAGTTTACCAAAAAAATTTCCAGACAGGAAAATACTCAGACATGAAAACATTACAATATCCCGAGGTATCTGTGCATGCAGCTTAAATAGTGTGTGCAATCAGTCCTTGAAAATGCTCCGGTGGTGTGTGTGCAATCAGTCGGGATCAGGAACATGTGTGCGTGAACGGAGCGCATGTATGGAGTTGTAGTCCATGAAATGGGGAATCTGTAGTCCATTAGAGCTTGTGAGTGTTTTCCAGCGATCTATAGTGTTTTAGTACTGAGTCAACATCTTAAACCAACATCATATTGATGACAAATACAGACATTTATTCGTCAGGTATGGCAACCAAAATTCAACATCTGATAGACATCATAGTGGTAAAGTCCACACAACGTCAAGCAGTAACATCATTGATATTTGGTTGATTTTAGGTTGGACGTTAAGACATTGAGGTCGGCTTGACATTGGGTTCTGATGTCAACCTGATTTTCATTTCCAAACAAAATGCAACGTCCCCACGACGTTGAGGTACAACGTCAATCTGACGTCATGTTGAGGTACCGTGCCTGCTGGGTGTTTAGGGCTGTTTAACATCCGTCATCTTCTCATCAGTGACATGCATCTAAACAAGTCTCTGGGTCAATGCGTGTAAAGATTTTGGACATCTTCTTGGACACTTTTAATGCTTCCAAACAGTTTTCTGCAATTATAAATCGCCCATGTCTTCACGTAGTTAATTTTTATGCCATTTACCTTCTATGTGCGATTTGATTGGACAGGAATCACTGATTTTTCTAATTCTTATAAACATAGACACCGTTGACTTTTAAGTTGAGTAAACTTAAAAATGTCCTGATGCTGGTTGCCTTAATTTGAAGTTTTCGTAATTTATGATTTTTGACAGTGTATATGCAATCTATTGATGTAATGCTAAGCTATGTTCAGCATTACAGTCTTCTACGCCACACGATAATTCTGAAATCAATTTAATATTATTGTTAAAAACAATGTTGAATGTTTTGTTGCTCAAAAGAGTTCAAAGGACAGCATTTTTCAAAATCATATAAGCAATCTTTTGTAACACTTTCATTGCATCCCTTTACTTTATAAACACGCGATCATTATTTTCTTATCAAACATGATTAAGAAATACAAAAAAAAAAATCTCCTTTCTACAGCAATTTATAAACAATAGTTTGTATATAAAGAGCAGCAAAACAGCACAATGCAATAAAAACAAACATGTGATAGCTTATCACCATGTTAAACAATACCCACACATGCGGGTTAATTACTTATTTTAGGTTACATTCTTTATCTTTATGGCTACAGAAATTCAGTAAAAAAGATTTCAGAGCAGCAATAATCCTGTGAAATCTTGAAAAGAGCAGATCAGGTGCACATGTTTTCAAAGCTTTAAAACTCTGAAATGCTTATCTAAGCTTCTCAGCAATTTCCTTCTGGTTACTGGAATACTGGGATTATTTTACTCTGAAAAAAGAGGTGGCACCATAACATAATTTCAAACTGTGACAAAACATTACAATCTAAATATACTCCATTTTTGTCTTATCTGTTGGTTAAATCACAGCAGTGTTAGCAGATAAATCTAACATTTTATTACCTTACTCCTTTTTCCATTTTAACCCTTGTCCTTTTATGACTCAATAAATATGTGTTGTAAAATCACAGAAAATGATGCTAATGACTCATGCCTTTTTTTAATCATTTGGCTGCAAGCAGATGACTTTTATATGCCAGATGTTAGCTTGAGCCTAGAATCATGAGGTTAAGCTGAATCATTAGCACGAGAAATGTAATTTTAATCTAAAATCCAGTTTTATTGAGGTAGTCATAGTTTTTCATACTGTTAATTTTGTTTAAATGTTGTTCTTTTTCAGAGCCAACGTAAGTTAAATGTGTTGAGACTGAAGCCTGGTTTATACTTCTGTGTCAAGTGACCGGCGTAACCCACGGTGCATGCAACACCCATAGCTGTGCATTTATACTTCTGTGCGCTGTCTCTGTTGGTCTGCATTAACACTTCCAAAAGTTGGCAGTGAGGTGTAAATTTTTCTCTGAGTCGAGTTTCTTCGCTGCTGTTTTGCTTTTCCTGAACACTTCCGGGATGTACAAGTGGCTCAAATTCGCTAATTTTGAGGCAGGAACCGGCGGACGTGCAACAACTTTAACCATGAGGTAAACACAAAACAAAACTCTCCTTAACGGAACTCCACACTTGTAAACAATCGCTAAATCAGGCTCGCACCATTCGCGCGGCTCTCGATCCCGCCCAGACTCGTCAGCGCTACCAAGCCGACCAATCACAGAGCTTGCGCTATGCGTCGTTGCGACGTGTAGTTACGTTTTTTTAAAGGTGCACGTCAGCAACGCCGATGGCCACAGCGAAGGGCTATGCGTCAGCGACGTAGCATATGCCGCCATTTGACGCAGAAGTATAAATCAGCCTTTAGGGTCTCATTCATTTGCGTTCATTTGTATCTAATGACAATAGCTTGTTATACTAATTGGAATACACGATTGTAATTGGTGAGTCAATAGGCAAAAGTCGGGCTTTATTTTGAGAAAACAACCTCCTGAATGTAATTTATCCCTAACATATTGTAATGTCATAAGGACGCTGATTTAAACTGTTTACTGTTATTTGTTGTTCCCAGCCACCCAAAGAGTCAAATGAACTGGAAGTCCTAACACGTGTAGAAAA